TGCAATAGGAAAACTTTAGGGCTAAGGTTTTCCTGGAACATTCAAAGAAGGTAGTTATAAAGCGATACCTTATGTGATCCAATGATATCTACTAAATCTAATCTAATCTAATCTATTCTATTCTATTCTCTCTATTCTATCTAGATTTCAATGATGATGCTAAGGGGTCAAGCGCCACGTAGCCTTGCAGTGTGTGTAAGATTGTGTGACAGCCAGTAGGTGACGATTCCGATTCCATTCCTTCCGGTGCTGAGCTGTCGAAGGTGGAGGGTTTGGTGCTGCACTCCTTGCCTGCTCGCCATCGCCGTCGCCGCAAAGCGCCTGATGCAGCCGAGGGAGAGAAGGCAGTCCGCTGCCACGTGTTTAACTAGTTGACCCAGTAGTAATGCCCTTGTTACTAGTAGCTTCTTGCTACTAGTAGTAATGCCCTTGATATTATTAGTTACTGTCCACACATGTGCAATGTTTCCTATTTCCATCATTATTGCCATTGTGCCCACTGAAATTGGCATGAAAGACTTGTGCACGTCCAACATGCATGTAACATGCATGTAACATGTGGCATTTCTTCAGGCCGGAAAGGTTGTGGTCACAGAAGTCGTAGACGAGACTCACATTGAGCAACCTGTGATGGCAGTAGCCATCCCTTCGACGGAAGAGCTTCGCCTCTATGAGTACTTGGAAGCTTGTCTGCGCCGTTGGCCTCCATGCGGCCTCCATACCTCTCCAACTGCATCCAAAACGACATGGACTTTGAAGGAAACTGCATCCAACCGTACCTGGTTCAAGCAAAAGAGTGAAGAAATGAGCAGTGCTTACTGCGGTTTAATGACTGACTCCTGCTCCATGTAGGATCACACCGCAGATGTGATCCTACACTCTTGGGGCAAAACGTTGTCACAAGCCTTTGAGCAGTGCTGCGTAGCTTTGGCGAATTGGCAGGGCAAGGTTTTCCAAAAAATACAAGCGCATGTCTTCCGCACCTTGCTTCCGTGCTGATCAGGTATGTTTTTTCTCGTATTTGACAGACCTGGACACAGTGAGCATGGTCACATCAGTCGACATTCAGGCAACTGGACATGACCTAACCGACCTTCTTTATCATCTCCTTGACGAGTGACTCGCATGAAAAGAGCATAGTAACAAGTGCATCGCTTCTAGTAACAAGTGCCTTACTAGTAGTAACAAGAAGCTACTAGTAGCAAGTTAGATCATAGAGAGTTATACTGTAATTAGAGACGCGTTGGCCGCCACGGCTATGATATGACCTAGCCGCGACCGCCCACTACGAGTGTTTTTTGAACGGATTTTCTTTGGTGCCATGTCTACCCGTCTACCCACTACGTATCCAGGAAGAAAGCTATAAGCCTGCAGGCCTGGATGGCCTCCAACCTAATATCAATGGCCTCCAACCTATTTTGATAAGAGCACTTTCTCAATTGTGTGCTGCCTTGCACCTCACTACTGAGACTACTACTTGGTCTTCACTACATCCTGCACAAAAAATCTCAAAAGATGTTGCCCAGCCAGAGGCCCCAAAATGAATTCAGGTGGATCACTTGGTTTGAACATGTTTGAACTTTGCTCAGGTTCAGAACTTGGTCATTGTTTCCCACGACAGAATTATGTCACTTGCAGTCTTTCGAATGTACAACCGCATGAGCCGGAAGAACACAATGCAACACCCTGAAAAGACCGAAAAGAGAGCTTTGGGTGGCAACTCTTACTCATAGCGCACCTAGTCTCTTGTCGCAGGCTTAAGGCGTTGCAATTGCGTTGACAACTGCGAGAAGCATCAAGGGCCATCAAGGGCTAAAAAGAGCCCACAGAGGTAGAAGATTGTTCCTCAAATATGAGCCGACTTGAACCGGTACATGGGCGGAGCAAACGCCGAAATCAAGGCATAGGCACGTCCACCCCACATTCCACCCTGTGGCCTAAAACTCATCCGTCTCCTCGTGAGTGAAAGACGCCGCCTCTCCAGGATTGGTGCAACGGGAAAAACCATAAGATGATCATTTTAACCAAAGTTATTAATCATAATTACAATTTTATATATAGTTTTTATCATTTGCATATGATTTAACAACTACAACTTGATTGGGAAGGGCTTGATGGCCGAACGCAGAGCGAGCTGCGACCCATCAAGGTTTCTCTTCAACTTCAGCACCGAGTTTATAATCTGTCGGCGTGTGGAGGTCGATTTGGACGAAGCAAACCTTCGAGCAACTGCACGAGGTTATGGTGAGAGACCTGGCACATTTGGCACGACTCAGTTACAGAGAGCAGAAGATTCAATTTTTGGTTTTTGGCTTCTACTACATACCAGCCACAGTGGATATGGAGCCCATCTGGCCTCCCACTGCCTCCCCCCAAAAGAAGCGGCTAGAAGATAGAAGAGGCGCCAGAGCCGTGAGCTAGGTGAGCCGTCAGAGCCTGCCCGAAGCTCCACTTCATGGTAGGGTGTTTGGTATTCCATTGCTGTTGACCTAAGGAAATTTGATCTTCAAAAGCATCCACAAGGTACAGAGATCAAGGCGGGAGGCACCCAGCTGATCGGCATAGGCTGCTGCAGAATCAGATCAACCCCCCAAAAGGCCCGACCCTTGGGAGTTTGTTCCCCAGGGCGACAGCTGAATCATGACGTTCGCATTTGAAGGCGTTAATCTGCAGGCGATCACCATGCACCAAATGAAGATTTTAACTCCTACCACGGTGGCTAGTGAGCAGGGCATTCAAAAACGAGCACTTGGGCTGCATGGAGAGGAAGAGTTGAGCACAGATAAGTTGAGATAGTGTCACCCAAGGAACATTAGTGGATGCATGTTTGGGAGTTAGTGGTGAGACGTGGTGAGACTATCTCCACCCAAGGAACAAGAAGAAGCTCATCCTGAGATTGTGGATCACCCCTTTGAGTGCTACGTTTTGGTGGACATTTGACCGGCTTTTGACACGGAACTTTTGGGACGACAGATGGTGCGCTTTGGCACGACAGATGGCGCTCGAAGTCTGCGACAAGCTCACAGAGGCGGCTCGGTGGACCAAGCTCACAGAGGCTGCGAAGCGAAGGCGGAGAAAAGGGAGACGTGCTGCCCGATGTGCTTAGACAGAATTCGAGACATATGAGACAGGATGAGTTAAGACAGGGCTGTGGAACGAAGGTCTCGGACTGCTTTCGGCTTTTTGGGGGCACGAGCCACCGGTGGGGCAGCCTTTGGAGTTGGTCGCGCGGACTTTGCAGTTTGTCGCCCAAGGTTCACCAAAGCTTGGTATGCCAACCAAACCCAACCAATTACCATCATCGGAGTAGGCACATGTTGACAACATGACAACAGTGGTTTGGGCAACGTGTGTTGTCAGCATGTGGCACGATCATGTGCCAATGTGTGCTGTGTCGTGACAACCGGGCTGGCGCGACAGGATGTTTCGTAAATCTATTCAATCAGAACCAATCAGATGGAAACAATGGCTAACCTGAACCTAGGTTGGAGGCCATCGCTCTTAGGTTGGAGGCCGTCGCTACTTTGTTCCGTCCAAGTGAGTGAATACTGGATACACCAACGTGAGCACCCTGAGCACCCTGAGATGTGTGATCGCTTTGGCGCTCCGCTCCCATGGCATGCGGCATGTGCCTTTGCAGCTCGGTGCATTGCCACCACCTGTGGTCATCAGCCCACCCCCGCAGCAGCTCGGCAGAAGGAAGGACCTAAGGATGCTTAGATACGAGCAGCTAGCTTTGCCATGCTTTGCCACCTAGCCCAAGCGGTTTGCCGTTGCATGTCGTGGCCGTTTTATGCTGCGGCTTCTATTTTGGCCAAGGCCGGAAGTTACCGTGGGACAGACTCCGAAGGTTCCGAGGACATTCACTAAGAACAGACAATGAAAGAAGCCTGTGACTTGAAACACCTGTAAATTCAAGAAGCTACTAGTAACAAGGGCATCGCTACTAGGAGCGATCGGACGCTACTAGGGTCTGGCCTTCCTACTAGGAGCAAGAAGCTAGTAGTAACAAGGATTGAATGGTCAGCTGTGAGGACAACCAGTCCTACACCGAGCCTCAGAAGCCCTCGAAGCCCTCGAAGCACAGAGGCACCGGCAGTTGGTGTCGTTTGGAAGGCACCCGAGACCTCAGCATCTGAAAGAAAGAGCGCAGAGTAGTGCGTGCTCCTGTATTTGGTTGCCCCGAAAAGGCAAAAAAGGAGAAGTAACAAGCTGTAAGGGCCAACCCCCTCAACAGCAATAACCATGTCGACGCAGTTGTTCGATATCTTCAGCTATGATGAAAGTGTGGGGCCTGAAAAAGTGATAGGCCGCCCCCCTGAAAGTGATATATAATCTTGTTGAATTGTATATATCCGTTTTTTTGTTCCTTTTGTTCTTTTAGCTCGCTCCCCCCTCCCTACTTAAGCGGCAGCCGCTTACTTGATTGAGTAAGGGAGAGGTAGCTAGTACCTTACCAGTACGCTACTAGGAACTGGACGCAGGATAGCTCACGCTATTCATTTGGTTCTTATTAAGGTCTGTACCAGGAACAAGTGCATCGCTTCTAGTAACAAGTGCCTTACTAGTAGTAACAAGGACGCTACTAGGGGCTCCTGGCATCGCTACTAGGAGCAAGGACGCTACTAGTAACAAAGGGTCTAAAGGTCAGAAAGGAATGTTTGGCTTCTTGTTACTACTAGTGAGGCACTTGTTACTACTAGCTTCTTGTTACTAGTAGTCAGGCACCTGTTACTACTAGCGTGGCACCTGTTACTAGTAACAAAGGGTCTAAAGGTCAGAAGAAACAAGGACACAGTAATCTGAATGTCTGTTTGTGATTGGCCGGTGCTCATTTTGTGTCTTCTATTCTCAGCGTAGGGTCGCCTTCAGGAGCCAAAAGAACCTGAGCCTGCAACCAGCAGCAAGGCTGGACCAGTTTTTTGCTCCGGACTTGGCAGTCTGAGCTTTCAATTTCATCGAACATGAAACCATATTATGACGGACTGGGGCTACAAGATGCCACCTCTCACAGGTGGCCTAGGCTTTGTTTCAGCCGTGAGGTGTCGAAACAACTAAGTGGTGCCAGAACCAAGGCCTAAATGTTCTGCGCCATGTCCGTATATCTATCAGAAATGGAAGGGTGTTGCTAAGTCACGTATGTCAATAGTTATTTCAATGTCTTCCTGAGAGGCACATGAGAAGTAGTTGGGTGTCCTCTTCGGCCCTGTCTTCCTCCATGATGTTCCCATGCGAGGTGGGGCCATCAGAGGCGCACAGCGGCGGCGATGCCACCCAAGAAGGAGCCGAGACGGAGCGATGCCACTGAGTCTGAGCGTTCGAACGGAGACCTCATCAGGTTTGGTTTCGATGGTTGTCTTTCGTGAGCACTGCTACTAGTAAGGGCTGTGAATATGACATGCACCGAAAGCTGGGGGGTGGGAGTGATGGGACACTTGTGTTGGCAACAGGGGAGAGTGCATCTTCCTTCTGGCAGAAGGCAGTTCGTCAGAAGCTCGTCAAAGATCAGTGAAACTCTTTCAATATTTGCCCTCAATATCTCCCCGACCTGGAACATTTTATGTTCCTGAACAAGGTTTGAGGGGAAGTCAGCTGGTTGAGTGTGCAGGACATCAGAGGTTTGATGAATTTTGAGAATTGAGCAGAACGGACTCTAATTTGTTGGCCTGTTTGTGGTTGGACCATCTCAAGTTCAGCACATGAGGATGTACGAGGTCTATCTCAAAGGAAGATGGCAGGAAGTTGTTGAAGCGCTATTGCCTTTGCAAGCATCTCACTGGCGGCAGCTGCTGGATTTCGGTGCAGGCAGACCGTCGGTTTCGTCGTCTTCCTGCCTAAGGTGTGTGCGCCCGGACAACATGTCCAGAATGTCTCAACATTTGCTTCTGGATATTGCGAACAAGAAGCTACTAGGGGCTCCTGGCCTTACTACTAGGAGCACGGACGCTACTAGGGGCTCAATCCTTGAGCTTCTGTTCATCCAACATACTACGGATGGCCTCCAACCTAGTAGCGATGGCCTCCAACCTATTAATGGCTCATTCCTGACTTCCTAAGCTGTTTTTCATCACTTTGCACTTTGTGAAGCTTGGCTTGAGACCAGGCTTTCGAAGCTTTGTCCTGGCATCGAACCCCGTGCCACCGCCCTTGCCGTGCACGCTTTTGATCTTCCTTGTGCTGCTGGGAGATGAGTCCAGTGATTCCGAAGAGGAGCTACATTCGTAGCTTCTAGCTACTAGTAGCGATGCAAGGAGCCCCTAGTAGCGTCCTTGCTCCTAGTAGTAAGGCCAGGAGCCCGTAGTAGCTTCTAGCTACTAGTGATGCCCTTGTTACTAGTAGCGTCCTTTGTGGAGTTGCCTCAACATTTAATCTCTACAGGCGATACTGAGCATTTCAATACAGGTTTCTCTTGTTTTTGTTTGAACCGTTGAGATCTATTTTCCTTTTGTTCCGTGTTATTTTATTGAGACCTGAGCTTGCTTCCACTCTTACTTTTTTTCTTAATCAACTTCTCATGGTCTGGCTGACTATCTTGTTTTAAATCTTACAGTTGGCTGAGGCAAGTGTTCTTTGTGCGCTCGAAGCCTGCCTGTCCAACGGCGGTGGAGGGTATGCCTTTGGCGCACCTTGTTGAGAGTGGTTTTCAGGTGCTTCCCAGAATAAAAGGGCAAAGAGCGGCAAAAAAACTCTCCGAAAGAATGCTCGGCCAAGTCAGAATCCACATCCAAACTCCTGGCTTTCCTTTTGTTCTTTTGTTGGTTTGTTAAAATTGATGTTTTTTGTATAAATGTATGCGTGGTACGAATGATACCCTCTCGGAGACACCCCGATTTGTTTCTGTGGTCACGCATGTGTTCTTCGATGCACGTCTTGAGGTATGTGCATTTCTCTTTGCTGATGCGGCACTTGCTCCAGCGCACGCAGCCCGGTGAAGGGCGGTCTGCGGGGCCGCCGCTGGCAGTGAAGTTTCTGGTCCGGCTTGCAGGTGCGAAAGGCGAAGCGAAAGGTTCTGACACAAGAAGGAAAAGGAAATATATAAATAGAAACAGAAAGGGCAAGGAGCAAAGAAAGGAGCTGTCAGAAAGGTCCAAACATGTCTAAAGGATTCGAACAATCTAAAACAATGGATCTTAGCCAATAGAAAGAAGTGATTGAAAATTAGAAACAACATGAGGCAACGTCTTTTCAAAACACTTGAGACTTGAGCGCGTCCACCCTTGAGAATGGTTCAATTGAGACAAGAGTTTGTTTCCAGAGCGTTCCAGCGGAACAATGAACTGGCTTTGACCTACTTCTAGAACTCGAACATACTCGACTACTCGACTCTTCAAATCATGAGTCACATCTGGAGTTTAGTTTATCACACTGGGTTGGTAGTTTGTTTTGGGTTTGTGATTCCTGAAGGATCTTGAGCAAACGGCCTGACGGCCAGGTGCCCGATCTGTGGCGACCTTGCTGCAAAACTGTCAAGGAGATGGCCAGGCTCGGCAAACTCCTTCGGTGGCTGGACGCCGCACCTGTTTGGTCGTCTAAATGTTGAAAAAGACTGGCGAGTTTGTGTTTCGTTTCAATGTTCTGTTGTTTGGTGCTCTTTTCATGTGTGTTCTTTTGCATTTTGTTCTCTAGTTTTTTTTTGCATGACTTTTGGTGAAAAGGACTTTTGAGTGAGAGGATGGTTTGACCGGCCACCTTTTTGATCCCGCATGCCTCGGCAGGCTTGGGTGGTTCCTTGGCAGCGTAGGAGCTCGGGAATCATCTACATAGTGAGTCAGTGAACCTGTTTGTTGACTAGCTATTCCTCTGTAGCTGGCTTAGCGGCCTTTAAACAAGAAACAAACATTTATATAGTGACAAGAAGCTACGACGTAGTAGCAAAGGGCATCGCTACTAGGAGCAAGGACGCTACTAGGGGCTCCTGGCCCTACTACTAGTAGCAAGGACGCTACTAGGGGCTCCTGGCATCGCTACTAGGATCAAGAACGCGACTAACCATAGCTTGTGCAACACCTTGGAATGTCCGAGGCAAACTTCAATGCTGCTTGGGATGCGTGTGGTGAAGATGTGCTTGCAGATTGTATGGTGCGAAACGTTTCATTCTTCCAGTCTCTCCCGGAGTCCCTCCTCCTTTCCCTCTTTGTCACCTTCCTTCTTCCTTTTCCTTGAAAGACTCTTGCCATTTTTATATTTTGCTGTAAGTCTTCACAGCGACATTCACCGAACGCCGGAAGCGTCATACAACCCCGCGAGCAGGTGCTCCTGGGAGAATTGTACCCTGGAGAGCGGGAGGTTGATGGAGTGGATGAAGCAACCAAAGCGTCGGAGAGGTGCTTCAAAGCATGTTTTCACCGACATTCCTTCCCTGAGGTGGTCAACTAGGAGTAGTAAGTAGTCTTTTTGACAAGCTGCTGTACCTAATTAAGAGAAGCACAGCCGCTGGTATCATATCAATTATCATGCTCAAAATCTCATGCCAGGATGACCCTTGCTAGTTTGCTCATTGGTGCGGCACTGCAATGCAGCCTTCAAAACTTGCAAAGCACGGCCCTCGAAAGGCTAAGCAAATCTAGTCTGAGCAAATGTGACCTGTGCTTTTTGCATACCTGAAGTATGATGGATGTCCAACCTGATCGGAGAAGCTACCGAGGTTCGCCTCGCGAACAGAAGCAGAAGAGTGCGAACACATGCAGGCCAGATATGGCCACACCCGTCAACGTGGCTTTTCGGGAAAAAACGGCTTGGCCGGTTTGCTTGGCCACCTGGCCTGGGCGAGGCCGGACGCGCGTGCTCTTTATCTTCGGCCTGAAGATGGTTGCGGGCTTATATAGACATGGAATGGCATTGGAGGCCATCGCTACGGAACTAGAAGCTAGTAGGTGGGAGGCCATCGCTACACCTGCCAAGGAAGACACAGTCTAAATCTCTAGACGCCAGTAGATCAAGACATTCTTGCGGTTCTTGGTACCGGGAGTGAGGTGCTTGGTCGTGCATCCCCCGAGAGGACCACAAAGGGCTGTTTGCCAAAGCGTTGCACTGCTCCTGTTCAGTTGCTTGCTTGCACCAAGCAAAGGGCAAGGTACTTCAACCCTACCCTTGGAATAGACGACGAGTCAAAGTCAAAACCATTCAGATACTGAGACCTTCTTGAGATTTCTTCCAGTTTGTTCGCTGTTTTCCAAGTTTGTGAAATTGCATGTTGTTTTTGGCAAGTGGCCCAAGTGGCCCTTGGAAGTCAGCCGTCAAGAATGTGCTGGGCACACGTGCTGATAGGCCTAAGTTCACAAGTAAGTAGGCACTGGTTTGACCATCTCACGAATGATCAAAGTCATTTCCCTCAAAACCGGATGGAGGTTGAGAGGGCAAAAGAAAAGAGAAACACTAGAAACAGTAAATGACTAGATACAAGACAGAACAGAAAGCTGGCCCTTCCTTGGGGCACTCATGCTTTGCGTCTAGGTGCGTGTAGCTACGCCTTCATAGAATTACCATGCTTGTTACCACTCGTCCCCTGCGAGCGGCCTAGGTCCCCTCCACCAATACAAAGAAAGTGTCCCCATGAAGTCCTCAAACATCCTCAAACGCTCAGATTTAGCTTTTCTTTGTTTGCTATTTTGTCTTTATGTCCGCAACGAGCCGAATGGATGAATCTCCGCACCTCAGGTGCGGCCACCTGGCGGATCCACTGTTGATCGCTTTCTGCTTTCGATGCTCGACATCCTGATTGAGTCAAAGCCCTCTAGGCCCAAGGAGCGGCACCACTGTTTTGTGCGCAAGAAGAGTGTTGCTGGAGCCTCCCTTCTGCCCCTTGAAACGGAACCTGCAGGTCAAAACGTTACTGCGACTCTGGCTTCAACGTTGGTCATTTGTCACAGACAGCATGCACAGCCAATGCAAAGTAGAGACCCGGAGCGCGGAGGATGCGGTGGTGAATCCAGATCACTCGGATAGCTTGGAGATTCGTACTTTTGCTCGGCTTCTTCGAGTGCTTCTGCAGGCAGAAGTTCCCACCACCGTGGTTTCCAGCAGTTTTGCGTCCCTCGAACGTAGCGTTTTCCGAAATCGGATGTGATGAGGCCTATTTCATTGATCCGGCTCTTTTGGCAGCAGCTGAGAGCGACGCTGAAGGCCTGCTGATGTGGGGTGGGTTGCAGTCAGCAACCAGACAGTGTGACTCTGAAGTGCTGAAAGGGTTGCCAGATTGGACACGGTCGACATCTTTACATACACAAACACATGTATTGATCGCCTTTCAGAGCACACTTCTGCCACGCAAACTGATGAGCGGGTTGGGTGGGGGGTGGGGGGTGCCTTCTGCAGCTGTAAGATGCTTACTGTAGATGCTCGGAGAAGGAAAGAGCACACACTCAACACCATAGTAATTAGAATCCAGGAGGGATGCTGATGTACTGAGAGCTTCAATGAACTGAATGAAACAGAAGGAGAAGAAGAGGATCACATATATTAGATATATATATACATATGCGGTATCTCTAGCACTGCAGTGGGCAGACTTTGCGAGGAGCTCGATTGGCTGGAGCTTTTGCTGGCCCGTCTGACCCCTCCGAGTATGGACCCTGGTGGACTGGCGGGTTGCAGTGTCATATATGTCCTAGCAGAAGACTTGCTTCTAGTAACAAGTGCCTTACTAGTAGTAACAAGAAGACTTGCGCTGGCGTGTTTTGATCCTATCAATATCTGGCCAACCAAAACCAACTGATCAAGGCGTCCCGCTGTAGGGTCTAGGGATTTGGAAGGGCCAGGGCCAAGAGTGCATTTCGATGACGGTTGACACCGCATGTCGGCATCGCATGTTGACCCTAGGCTGGTGCCAGTGCTCCAGTCCGGTCCATTGCGGAGGATGGCAAACCCGGACCCATCAGCGCAAGTTTCCGTGAAATGTTTAATCACTCAGACAGAGAGTTATTATCATGTTCATTGTCATGTGCTGTGATTCAGTCTTTGGCAAACTGCCATGGTTGCCATGTACTTGACTTAAACTGTATACTGTATACTAATGGAGAGGGCCAAGACTTTCTTCCGTTCTTTTTGTGTCCAAGACGTAGGAGCTTGGCCTTCATGGAGCAGTCGCCGCTACTGTACTTTGGAAAGCCCATTTGCGGTATGGATTGTTCCGGCCAATGTTCGGGTGGCGCTAACAGCTAAAGCCAACAAAGCCCTACAAAGGGCCCCTACCCTTGCAGCCAGCTGCCTTGTCTTAACGCCTGTCAAGACAATACATCACGTCCATACTATATATGAGTGAGTCACAGATGTTCAACTGGACAGTCACAAGAGATTCAATTAAACAAAGAAACTAGGAGGGGTCAGATGGTCGCAGTGTTTTTCCTCCTTTTCTTTCCAAATAGGACTCCTCAGGCACGACCGAGGCAAGTGGTCCAGCGCCGCCTTTGCGGCGCTCCCTTCGACGACGTCTTGGGTTCCACGGAGCAGCTGCAGCGCTTCGCTCTGCGAGAGTTGCGCGTCGCCTGGTTCGACCTACGCAGGCGAGCCAGCGGACCGTGGGCAGCGATCGGACGTGACGAACGGGGGCTGGCCCTACTAGGAGTGCTCGGATGCTACTCCACCTACAAGCATTCGAAGCATTGATTCACTTGCAGAATTCTTGTTGAAGGTCCACTTGCACGCTGAAGCGGGGCACGCCACCTGGCACGCCACCTGGCATGTTTGCTTGGAAAGATGTGCGCAACGAACCGTGAAAGAGCACAAGTGGCTACAGCAGCAGACGCACACTGGCCAAGTCAAGACACAGTTTCGTGCTTCCATGCACTCCCAACAGAAGCGTGCAATGACCGAAGTGCCTCGCTGGGTGCTTTGAGGCTGTTGTTGTTGATGAAGCCCTTGAAGTTGCAGCTCTCATGCGCGTGCGAAGCAGACTTGGCAAGCTTCCCTTACATGAGCCTGGCTGCTGCCGCCCAGGCGCGTCAGCTTCAGCATGCTTCAGCGAAAGGCAATTTGACATGAATCTGATCCCGACTAGTGACTGGCTGCTAGCTGCGACATGCTGAGACACGGGGTCCATGCAAGGGAGCCACACGAATGTGAGAACTGCTAGGGCCGCTAGGGGTCTTTTCATGCTCCAGCAAACTGTTCCGAAAGGATATTCTTGCACTTTGCTTTTAGATACTGCACCATTCTTGCAGTGTTGGCGGTGTTCAGTTCAAAGATACAACAACCGAGGGGAAAAACCCAAGCCCTTCAGTTTTCTGCACCAACTTGGGCAGCATTTAGTTTGTATTCTGTCAGTCAGAATATAGCAGTGAGAAAAAGACAATCACAATCACAATCCACAAACTTCTATGGTTCTTCACACAACAAGCGCAGCAAAGCTGTGCTGCTCCCCCAATCTTGTTGGATCTTGTTGGATAGTAGTATAGTTTTTATTTGAAAGTAACTTAATTGCAGGTATTGCGCTAAGTTTCACCAAAAATCTAGGAAAGAATCATTGGTGCGTGAGCTATCCTGCGTCCTAGCTAGAAGCTTTAGTAGCTAGGAGCTTACTCAATTTTTAAGTAGGCGCCTACTTAACGTTTTTAATTACGTCGTTTTTATGCTATGGCTATTGGGTTGGAGGCCATCGCTAATCGTTTTCTTATTTTGATTTTTTTGGGGAGGCCTTTTAAGGTAAGGAGGCAGTGCCACGAATCGAGTCCTTCGGGACTTGGCGGAGGTCACGGTCCGTGAGCTGAAAATGTCCACTGCATTTGTCTTGGGGCATGCTGGTCTTAAACTGGATGGCCTTGGCGTTAGTGTGCCCGAACTGGAGATCAAATTGAGCCACTTGGCAAGGAATCATTATTAATTAGCATGACGTGACTTTGTTTTCAATCTGTGTTGTGGACGTGCCCCAACATTTAACATTGAATGACTTGCCAGATTGATGATAACAGCACTTGGAATAGTAGATTCTTGTCGGCAACTTGCTTGCTGGACTGCAATGCCTAGCACTTCTTGTGATTCATGCTGTCTACATATCGGATTAGTATGCTGAATTCATCGTCGAGCAGCTGAACGACCAAGATTACGAAAGCCAAAGTTGTGATTGAGTGGGCTTCCCCAAAGGGCTCGCTCCATGATAGGGGATAGTCGATGGATAGTCGGGACAGTGTGTGGAGACAATGGACACAGGTGACGCGACATTGCTCTCAAGGACGCCAGCACTCTTGGCACTCCATTTGTTTCTCTCATTGCTTTTTCTTTAGCCTGCTCCTACTTAATAATTAAGTAGGGGATAGTAGGGGAATACCCATAGTATAGTTATATAAGTTGAGAAGCAAGCTGCTAGGAAACTACGTACTAGCTAGGACCCAGGATAGCTCACGCTATTTCAAGAAAGCTCACCCCGCCTGAGGGCGGGGACAGCTTCCTTGAAGAAGCGCTCGCACTAGTGATTTAGGGAAACTTAGCTGTCTTTGAACTTGCACTGCGTACAGAAGTGGCCGACATGTTTGTCAGTTCATCGCCTGTATGTGTCTAATAAGAAGCTAGGAGGCCATTACTACTAGGAACAAGAAGCTACTATCCTATTCTTTGGCGGCCTAGCCGCAGGATTGCAGTGTCTGCCATCCTCTCCATCTTCCAGAGCACCCTCCAGGACTGTCCATCGGCAAGGACGGCAGTCCAAGGCGTTTGGGTTCTGCACAAAACCAGCAAAGATCGAGCTTTGAGAGCTGGGAGGATTCGGGAAGCATATTTGCGTTGTTTCTGTGTGAACTTACGGCATATATCGGCATATTAGAGCTTGTGTGAGCCACTTTCAGTCCGACTTGGGCACATTATGTCATGCGCATGAACCATGTGATGATACATTTTCTGTGATGATTGCAAGAAGCTACGAATTGGGTTGGAGGCCATCGCTAGTAGGTTGGAGGCCATCGGTACTGCTACTAGTAACAAGAAGCTGCTAGTCCTAGTAGCTAATTGAACCATGTGATACATGTTCGACGGCTCAAGGCCTCAGAAAGGCCATCACAGGACTCGGTGGAGGACGCCTCCCATCGAGCTAACTTGACGCTTCAAAGCGTCTGGCGCCCCGAAGCGCCATGAGAGAGCGCTGTGAGTTGTTGAACGCCGCGGTGTTGCGCTTGGAGCGGAGCTCGCGGAGTGTCGAGGTGCTCAGCAGCAATGAGGCGCACACGCTCACGGAGGACTTGTGCGACCTGGCCAAGAGATGGCCGGAAGAAGAGCAGGAAGAGGACGATGCCAGCTATGAAGCTGAGGCACCTATCTTTCTAAGGCTGGAGGAGGTTTTGGTGAAATTGCCTTCAGAAGCTCAAGAGAAGATTGTTGCTGCCTTCCGTCCACTGAGGGCTGAAGTCTCCCGACGCCTGGCAGAGTGGACCAATGAAATCAATGATTGGCTCAGTGATGCGGGATCTCCAAACAGTTCAAACACTCTTCAGACAACTTCAGAGCTCTTGGAGCTGCTTCGTGAGATTGAAGCCTCTCCCCAGCTCCGCTGGTATCGTCAATGCCGCAAGTCCAGGGTAAAAGCCAAGTTCTTGATGGCAGTGGCTAGCTTTGTTAGAGCGGTTCTTCAAAAGAGCCCATTGGTCAAGTCATGGTTAGATCAGATTCCCGATCTCACTTCTTTGGTGAGAAAGATTGAGAAGCAGCTTTTTGTGCTGCCTGGCTTGGGAAACATTTTGGAGACCTGGCATGAAGGGCGCCTACAATGTTACAATGCAACGCTCTCGTTGGCAGCACAGCGTGCAGCAGATAAGATGCGAGATGATTTGCAAGTATCCTTGGTCTCAGCGGTGAAGAGATCTACTACAGCGCCAAGTGATGATGGCAAGGCGAAGGTTGCCTTGCAAATACAACTTCGAGAATGGCCCATGTCTGGATGCCCATTAGCTCGTGCCTTGTTGGAGTTTCTGAAATCCCATGCCCTTGAATTAGGGGATTTGGGCCGTCCCAGTCTGCGCGAGTGTCCACCGCATTCATTGCAACCTACAACGCTTCAAAAGCTTTTGTCTCGCTTGGATGCCTTTGATCTTGGAGGCCCACCCGGCCTAGTGCGACTGAGATTTGAAGCGGTAGCGGCATTGGCATACAAAGCCGTGGGCACCAAGCCAAAAGCTGGAGCAGCAGTTCCACCAAAGTCGCTGAACACGGGAAGCCCAACTGGCACTCCATCTCCCACAAACGTGCCTTTGCCCACTGAGATAAGCATTGACTACAATGATGTCTCCTCAATGTCGCGCCTCATTCGTAGAGGTTTGCATGCAGATGATGAAGAATGGCGACAAGCTTGGGAACAGTTCTGCTGGAAGAAGAACATACCATCAAGATTGTCTAGAGGGAGTGCTGCTCCTCCCAAGGAGATGTTGGCAACTTTTGTGGAGAGCAACATCCACAGGATTCAACGGGCACCCTGGGCTCGAATGGTTTCTGAAGATGCCAGGGTGGCCTCTCGATCGAGAGAGGTGCTCGAGCCGAGACGAGGGAGACGAGAAATGAGACACGAGGACCGCGCTGACCGCGCTGATCGTGCTGATCGCGCTGATCGCGCTGACCATGCATCTAATGAGTCTGACTACTACAGCAGTTTCTCTGAGTCACGTTCTCGACGTCGAAAAAAGAGACGTCGTGAGAAGAAGTACCGGGAGTTCTTCAACTCCAAGCGCATGACCCCTGAGGTTATGATGATGAGGGCTCAGATGATGGGAGTATCAATGGTGATGAACAGTCCATTGGCTATGATGGGCATGCGGAACCCCATGATGATCCCGCCCATGATGGGCTCCCAAGGCTCAGAAAGGAGAGATTCCCGCAGCTGGCGTGGCCAGATGCCGCCCCCGCCTGCGCGGCAGTCGACGCAGTCAGCGCCCAAGCCCCCACCTGGTCCACCTCCACCGGCTCCACCGCCTCAAGGTGCCAACTCGACACCCTCGACTTCCACCACGACACCTGCGAGGAGTTCAAAGCCAGGGAAGGCAGGATCACGCAAGCAGGAGTCCATTGATATGGACGACCTGTGAGCTCAGCATGCTGCAAAAAGTCGCAGCAGGCATTCAGCACTCGGACTCCGTCGGACTCAGCGAAGGTCGCCTGTCGCATGTCTTTGGCTGACATGGCGATGGTCATGTCTCACCTTTTGGACCTTTTGGTTGCCTCTATGATTTTCGTTTGGTGAGTTAGTTCAACATCAGGCGGCCAGTGAAAAAGAGCCCGCGGCGAGATGGGAGTCGGCGCACACCTGAAAGCGAGCCAGGCAATGTCCGAGTTTCTCATGATCACTAGATGTAGGTACTTGTCACTTCCGGCAGAACATGCGAACCAAGAGACAGAAGATTTGGAGAGAGAGAGAGAATTGAAGAGAGGGAGAAGGGAAGTGAAGGGAGTGAGGGAAGGAGGCACGAACGAAGGCAGGGATGCAGGGAGGAAAGGAGGGAGGCAGGGAGGGGAGTGTGAGAACACCCATTGCATCACTGGTTTATGAAGCCTTCAGTAGCCTTCTATGTCCCGACGCTGGAAGCAACATGACCGACTTAGACCCAGAGCTGACCGTGGCATGGGCGATTGAGAACGTGTTGTCAAGTTGACGGGTTCCGTTCCGGGGGGCACTGACCAGCATCGCTTGTGCATTCTGAGCCCTCTGGTTCTGGTGCAGTCCCTTCTCCCGGGTTAAAGCTAGCAAAAGTGATCCAAAGGGACTAGGAACAAGGACGCTACTAGGGGCTCCTGGCCGTACTACTAGGAGCAAGTAGCTACTAGAACATGTTTTTTCTCATGAAACATTTGCTTGTCTCGGCTACTCAGGAGCACCTGCAATTGCAGCTGAAGCGCATTCTCACCAAACTTCTCGAGCGTGAGTTTGCCAGGCTGCAAGCAGAAGCATGTGAGGATATCCAAAGCCTAAGCCCACGGGTCAATAGTTTTTTTAGTCTGATGCATCATTCTGCATTGCCAACGTTGTATGGTTGGTTTCATTTGCCGTTGCAGGTGGAACGCAAATACATGGTCCTTTTTGCAAAGTGTGGTGCCTGAAGACATGCTTTTGGGAGCGATGCAGTGGCTGGATGAGAAGATTCCACGTGAGGGCTTGCCTGTGTGAGAAAAAGGGGCCGCCACACGAGAGAAAGGTGTTTGCCAAACCCTTTATATATGGACTAGGAGCACAGGGCATCGCTACTAGGAGCAAGGACGCTACTAGGGGCTCCTGGCCGTACTACTAGGAGCAAGTAGCTACTAGTAACAATGAGCTTGGCCGGACCACGGTCTTTTAACATCTTGCGCCTCCCTTAGGGAGACCGTAGCATCCCCCAAGGAGTTCACAGGCACACTGCTCGGAACCAAGAAAACGACCACCAGCTTCACGTGCGGCACGGGAAGAATGGTTGTCATGTGTGGGAGCCGATCCGGATGGACGAAACGGAGCCGATCCGAGCGGGAGATGGTGTGAGGGAAGGTGTGAATGGTGCATATCAATTCAGCAAGGGTGCATGGGTGACACCATTCCGAATGATCACGTGTGCATGACATCTCCAACTTGTCTGGTGCTGCCCGGAATGCCTGATAGCGCTTGGCACAGGTATCGCACGGAACAAACGGGCCAAGGAGCATAGTTGAAGATATGAAGTTTGCAAACGGCATTGTGCGATTGTGCATGGATTTGGAAGCAGCCATGGAAGCACATTGGTTTCCTAAGCTGGACATTCCCAATTGCCAACCTGCAACTTGCGGCATGTAGAGGAGCTCATCCTTCTGACCACTTGGAACTTCTGTGATGAGGGGTAACGTTTGACGCTCTGCGAGGCAGAGGATGTTGAAGGGCGCTGATGGCGCTTCTTGGTGCCGTGAGGGCAGTGCCGCAGTGCGTCAAAAGGGAATCAGCATTTGGGGGTAGTGGCTTCTAGTTACTAGAAAGCTTCAAAGACACACTAAAAAGCTTTTGCGAAAAAGGTAGCAGCGGCACCCGAAGTCCGCAAGCACGAAAACAAGAGGGCGCACTGAAGCGCCGCGGCCGCGCCTTTTGCAAGGCAACTGCCCTCCCAGTCTTGAGAGGGAACGACGGTAAGTGAAGGTCGAAAACAGTTCGAACTGCCGAAACACAAGTGCACAGCGTGAACTTTACATGGGGGAGAGTCCTTCGTCATCACCCCAGTTCCGCTGTTCGAACCGGTCCAGCCATTGGTAGACCAAGGTCCGCACAGATGAGCCTGACCGATCATCGACAAGGTCAGGTGGAATCACCCTTAAACTGCAAAGGCGGCAGAAATCTACTCGTCGCTGCAGGCTTTCATCTCTTCCGGCCAGGCTTGAACAGTTCAAGGTCGTGTGCCATCTGGCGCCATGCCGGCTGATGATCATGCCATTGTAGAAGGGGCACTCATTTCCATGCTCATCCATCTGCCTCAGGGCGATCTTCAGGATCTGGGAGGCTTCCTGTGCAAGGGTCTCAGCAGCATTCTGGTTTCTCCGAACCAGATTCATCGCTGTCGTGGCTTCGACAGCAGCAAGGCGGGACTCCTCGGCTTTGGAACTCCAGCGGAGGACTTCCTGCTTCAGGCGTTTGACTTCTTCTCTAAGGCGAGCTGGGATGATCGCTTCATCCTTTTGGACTGCAGCCTCAGTGACCTGGGGTGGTACTCGGTGGTGTGCATCATGGCTCCATCGACCAACCATGAAGGCTGTGCTCAAAAAAAGTAGAAGGAGGGTGCGCAAAACAGTTCCAAACCAATCCATTCCAGCTTCAGGTTCCACATTGGCCGAATCGGCCGTGACCAGCTGCGGGGCCATGAACAAAAGCAAAAACCAAAACAGGAAATTCGTCTTACGACCGCGGTAGGACTCGAGCGGGCGGCTTCCGACATGGCTCGGACTGTCGGAGACATACTCAAGCTTCCGGTCGGTCCTGGCAAACATGACATTCACAGGAACCTTGGAATTCCGAAAAAATCTCTTCATTCCAAAACACCTGCTCATCGACATTCACGTCATTCTCCGCAGGATTCTCGTCGATGGGCTGCTGGTGCTCCTCGTGGAGGTTGGGTTCCTCATTGATCACATGTGGTGGTACCACATGGATGCTTTCGGGTTCCTCATTGATCACATGTGGTGGTACCACATGGATGCTTTCAGGTTCCTCATTGATCACATGTGGTGGTACCACATGGATGCTTTCAGCAAGACTCTGTTGGAGCTCAGCTTTTGTCTTCTTCTTGGCAGCTTTGTATGAGGGGTCCCAAACAAGCTTCAAACGACCGTGACGTAGCCGTTGCGCAAGAAGTGCTCTGGCCGACTCTTTTGTCAAACCGTCAGCCAGTTGGCGCTCCGATGACATCCACCTCAAAGAACCGCCCAGTGAAGACAGGCGATCCTTCATCACACGGATCTCAAGCGAAACTCGCTTGTCAACCACAGAGCTTCCGACTCCTTCTCGGTGATAGGAGTCGTAAAGGGCTTTGGCGTCCGTGATCATGGTGGGTGACAACAAGGATGGAGCGTCCAAGAGCTCTTGGAGTCGCTGGCGAGGGTCAACCAACAAGCTCCAGTAGATGCTGGCATGCTCCAAGGCATCGCAAGCTTGACCACCGCTTTGTGCTTCGGCGCCCAAGGAAGAGCGTGCAACTCTTGGCGTTTTCAAACTGCGCCAATCCAACACGTGGTAGGCTCCTTCGGGACCATTGGCCTGAAGCAAAGCTTTGTTGACCATCAGGATCACATAGCCAGCTTGTGAGGCTCCGTCACTGCGGGTGGCAAAGGCAGCATCAAAAAAACATACCAAACAAAGTTCTGAAACTTCGCCCAGGTGGCTGTACTGTAGGCCAACATCAGCATTTTCTTTTGCAAAACGCAGCAGGCGATTTGTGTCGGCCACTGTCTGAAGCGTGGCCTTGGTGACATGACCGCTCAGGATCGAGGTGCTGCTCTGCAAGTGAGGACTGCTTTGAACTGCGGGCCATTGAAGTGAACCAAGAAGTCCTCTCAGCTGTGTCAACTCACGCTGATTGAGCGCATCGGTGAGGCTGCGCTTCTTGTCGTAGGTGATCGGTTTCACCTTTCCCATGTAGCTGGTCTGGTTGAGGAGGAGACCATCATCCTTGACCTGAATGTCACAACCACAATAGGTCAAGGGCTTTCCATCATCACCAGTTTTCCATTCACGGAAGTTGAAGGTGCTCTTCAGCTTGGTGATGGTGTCGTTGTAGCACTGGGAGGATGGCGAACCGCAACCAAGCATGTCATCGACGTGCATGATGACCATACCACATAGGCCATGAGGTCCAAGCAGGTTGGAGTGCTCAGTTGTGGTGTCATACTCAGGGTTGAGGTCACCTTCATAGATCAAGAAGCAGCAAGGGTCTTGAGGATGCTGTCGGAGGCCCATAGCGCTTAGCTTATCAACTGCAGCCATGAACCAAGATCTCGGGGCATCGATCTGGCCGTAGCAGGGCTTGAGAAGCAACATACGGGTGTCAGCTGTGGCTCCAAGCAACTGCAAACACTCTTGAGGAAGCTGCACCCACAACTTGCGTGTCTGAGGTCGACCCTGCAGGAAGGCGGTTGCTATGTCTGAAGTCCAGATTGGCCACTGCATGGTGGAGGCCAAACTCAACAACATGGATCTCGACAGCCTCGTGGTTGTGGGCGATGAGGTTGGAACAGTTCCTTCCCAAGCGTCTGGGTCCATGAAGCCTCTGACAATGAGCCTGGCTTTGGCACGGGGGCTGCCATCAGGATTCTTTGACCACTTCAGCAGCATGCGACTGGTCAGCGTCCGACTGGGCTCAGCTTCTCTGGTGGTCTCGAACTGCCAGACGTGGTTGTCAAAGAAGGATTGCAACTCTTTGACCTTTGCAGCTTTGAAGGCTGCTCGCTCATCAGGAGTCATGTGGCGCTCCGAGAGGTTGTTCTTGTTCTTGTCTTTCTTGAAGCTTTTGGCGTGCCGGAGTTTGGTCTCCTTGCCAAGCTGTCGTGCTCCTTGAAGTGGGGCCTTAGCGAACATGGCCATCTCTCGACGAAGGTCGCCTTTGATCTGGAAGATCGTGACTCCAGTCCATGAGCGATCCAAGGGAGTGGAAGCCGTGTAGCCATCGTCGGTCTGTTGGATGCTTTTGCCGTTGTTGTCATACATAATGGTCACCCGAATCAGATCAAGCTGATCTGAGGTGAAGGGGCTGTCTTTTGGCAATTGGTGCAGGCACATCTTGGATCGTCGAGGGATCACATGGTGTCTGATCAAACATCCGGCTTTGACTTCCCAGAAGTCGCGGTCTCTCTTGTCGAGCTGGAAGTAGCCATTCTCATAGGTCCAACCTTTTGGCAGGCAGTTGGCTTCAATGCCGGAGACTTGGAAGGCATGATTCAGCAAGGCGTGATCAGGTGCCTTCTGACTTGCATAGAGAGCAGGATCATCCGAAGCAGCTGGAGCTGCCGATACTTGGGCTGGCGCTTCTGCGGCTGCCGCTGTTGCTTGTGTGTTGTGCTCTGCACTGTTGTGTTCTGCTTCTGGTGTTGTTGTTTGTGACGTCGTGTTGTATGGCTGTGGTGACCCAATGCGCTGTCTTCGCAGGGGGCCAAAACTAAGTGTCTCCTGTCTGTTGAAGCGAACTCGTCGTTGTTGAAAGGTTTCAGCATCGACTGGTTCATACAATGCTGCAGTGTCAGGGTCCAGTGAAGGCCCTGACATTGATGCTTGAGGTGCTGTTGCAATAGCCGGTGGTGATGCAGCATGTGGTGTGGGTGCTGCAGATGGTATGGTTGGCTCTTCGCTGGGTTCGACCACAGTAGGAGCCCGTGAGCGGGACCTAGTGGTGGCTGGTGAACCTGGTACAGTGATCTCGGCTGGGGCCATGGGCAGCAACATGTTTGGTTCTGCCATCACTGGTGTTGGTAGTGCTCTGGGAGACGTCGGTGCAAAGCTGGAATGAGCAGGTGAGGTAGGCTCATATTCAGCATCGGGCACGATGATCTGTGGTGGTGCTTCTGCAGTCGGTACGGGTGGCTCCAGGCGAAAGCGATGCCTGGGAGGCTCATCATCATCTTCTTCCAGCAGAGGACCATCAGGGTCAGTGTGTTGTTCATCTTCCTCGACATCATCCAGCTGTTGGCGGTTCACCCGTCTCAAGTCGTAGAATCTAGTGACTCCACGGGATTTCAGCTGTCTCACTTTGTTGAGGGCTGATTGCAGGTCTTCGAGCACGTGCTGAGGTCCGAGGATGTCTGCACGGACATGGTGAGGCGCAGCACGAATCAACTGTGTTTTGTAGGCGAGCCAGTAGGTCTTGACCTTTGAAGCTGCAGTATCAGCTTCAGCATCTTCTTCACGAAGAACCACGTGGGCAGGACCAAGCCATCTGATCTTGTTCAGGGCTCCTTGGCGAGCATCACGCCAAAACCATACTCTTTCTCCCAACTGGAAAACTCGATTCTGGCCCTGGTACTTGCGACTGAGAGCTCGTCGCAGCTTGGAGTCAGCGTCAGCAGATGCCAGTGCCATCTTTGCAGCAGTTCGCCGCTCAAGGTTCTCCTCAAATGAGCTGTTGTTGCCAGCAAGTTGAGCTGCATTGAGGTTGGAGTCCATGAGGTGGGACAGCTCAGGTTGGAAGCCAAGAACCCATTGACTGGGCGAGAAGCCAGCAACTGCAGGTGTGGCGTTCTGCTGTGGGATCACATAGCAAAGTGCTTCCTTGATGCCAGCAGCGTCGTTGAGCTTGCGGTCATCCATGTAGACCTCACAGGCACGGCGCAGCACTGCATGACGGCGCTCAACCAACGAAAGGCGCTCATGAGCTTCTCCTGGTGCTACTTGATGGTCAATGCCAAGTGAGCTTGTCCAAGATTCAAACGGTGCACCAAGCCAAGGTCGGCCTTCATCGGAGATCAGCTTCTTGAGAGGGCCAAAATGGCGAACCCACATCTTTTCCAGAGCGGTGATGTAGGACTTGGAGGTCTCCTCATGAAGCAGGTAGGCTGCCATGAACTTGGTGCCAACATCAACTATGCTCAGCACTGCAAACTTGCGGTCTGCTGGCTTGAGGTAGAAAACGTCAGCCTGAATCGCTTCGTTGAAGGTCTTGGGCTGTGGCATGGATGATGGAGCAACCTGGTTGGGCTTCTTGTGCTTCAGACATGCCACACACTTGTACTCCTTGGCAGCGGCGATCACAGTGGGATGAGCTCCTCTGGCGGTCAACAGATCAGCCAGAGCATCAGGTGCCGGATGGCCAAGGTTTCGGTGTAGCCGTTGCACCGTTCGAAGAGCATCTTGTCGGTGTTCAGACTTGAGCTTGAGGAGGTGTCCGGTCTCTTTCTTGCCAGTTTCATCGACCACATAGGCGGTGTCCCACAGTTGAGCGGTCTCAGGACGAGCCAAGGCAGCAGCCAGTGTCGCTGCAAAGCCAGGTTGGTAGTCTTCCAAGTAGGTGGTCCGGCGGCCATAGCCAGGAGCAGAACCTTCCAAGGGGCAGTGGTAGTGGTCATGGTCACACTTCAGCTGGAAGGCCTCTAAAACAGCCTGCTTTGTGGTCAACAGGCGAGTGCTCTTTTGGACAGGTCGCCAGATGCCGTCGGTGTCCATGCACATTGCTCCATAGCGGCATTGGTCGAAGTCGGCATGGTAACCAGGAAGATCTCGGAGAGCCATCGTGTTCCAGCTCAAGGCATGTCGGGGCTGCTCCAAGTGGGCATGCCGTGCATTGGTCACCTGTCGTAGGTAGATGCGCTTGGCAAAGCAGAGATGGCGACGATGGTGGTGCTCACGTCGAGCCTTCAAGGCTTCTTGCTGTGCAGGGGTGCGACAAGCCAAGGTTTGCATTCTTGACCACAGGCGGCATTCTGGTGCCACCAGCACTTCATCAGGTTCTTCTTCATCAAGTCGTTGGAGTAGCTGTTGTTGATGGCTGATGAGGTTGAAGTCCCAGCCATTGTCCAAAGAAAAACTTTCCACCTTCATGCCAAGCTCCTCTGCGATGTGGCCAGTGCGAGCTTTGCCACAATAGATTTCCCAGAGAACTCGTCGATGGTCGGGAGGATTGTGAATCTCCTGAGTGATATAGGCTTCGGTGGAGTTTGAGGTAGTGACCAACTGAGTCTCCATGGTTCGAAGGGCATGTCGATGAAGGCGAGTGGATTGCAATTCGCCACCTGCTAGAGCCACATCTTCAGCCTGAAACACATGTTCGAGCTTGTTAAAGTCCTCGAAGTGGAGATGGCTGCCAGGTGTTTCCTCAGCAATGCGAAGGCTGAATAGGGTTTTCGTGGGATCAGGTACTTCCTCCATGCCAGTGGTGAGGCTCAACAAGTACTCGCCATGGCGGCCCACAAGCACTGAGGTCCAAGGCGATTGCCCAAAGCGAATGCGCTTCTGGCTGAAGTCGATGCCCATGTGCAGAGCCTCAATCACAGGTCGGCCCATCAACATTGGCGTGTTGCCAGGAACCAGGTAGCATTGGATCGTGCCGAACTGGCCATCGATCATCACCGGGAGATCCACTGTCCATGAAGCTCGTGAGGATGCATCGCCACCAAAATGGAACTGGCGGTCACATCGAGCAAAGCGGATGGTGTTGATGGGGTAGTTCATGGAGTGCAAGTGGCTCAAATAGCGGCCGAATGGACCATATCCGCACAGGAAGGCAGATGCACCTGGGTCAAGCATGGTGGCATCCGGTCGGTCGGTGCCCATCTCATCCTGGAACAGGACCAAGGCGGTCTCATTCTGCAAGGCCATACCCTCAGTGGGTGCAGGTCTCTTGTTGGACGATGAGGGTGATTTCGCACCTTGTGGACATTGCGCTGCCCAATGACCTGGTTGGCCACAACGAAGGCATGTAGTTGCCTTTGCACGACCTTTTGGATCAGCCTTTCCACCTGAGGAGGGTGGATAGCGCACCACATTCTTTCCTTTTCCCTTGCTTTTGCTCTTGCCCTTTCCTTTGTTCTTGCCGGCGCCCTTCGAAGGTGAAGAGGATCCAGAGGCGGGCGAAGCGTTCTGGCCATCAGTGAGGGCGACGATCGGCAGGTAGCCACGAGCCAACTTGAGCTGCTGGAATCTTTGCCGGGCATCCAAGTAGGTGGCATATAGGCGTGGTCATACTCTTCGGCCAACTCTTGAGGATCTTCGGACAGGTCATGGTGTTCTCCAGGTTCATCCTCTTCGCCGTAGTAGATGGCGTCATAGTCAAAGTCAGCCTCATCGTCAGGGGCAGTGTCATCATACCAGTCGTCGGCCTCATAGTAGGCGTCTTCTGTCCAGGGTTGCTCGGACCAGTAGGCATCTTCTTCATCGAATGCGGCGTAGCCGCGGCCCTTCCAGCGGTTGAACTTTCGATCACGTTCAGCATTCCAGCCGCCTGCTTTGTAGTCCTGACCGAACAGCAGGTACAGGGCTTCGATGACAGGATTCTTTTCCAACGTAGGAGCCTTCAGCGTCACCATTTGGCGTTGCTCCTTTGACAAAGCAGCACGTCGGAGTAGATGCCATCCTTGAACCTGGACTGGAAGAGTCACATTGTGGGCAGTCAAACGACGATAGGCGGTGTCATGGTCGGTGACGAAGGACAGGAGGCTTTGCTGTGGCTTCCTTTGCAACAAGTTGAAGTACTCCTCAAAGTCATTCGGAAGGAGCACACGATCGTCATACTCGAAGTTCTTGTCGAGCTTGGTGATGATCTTGCTGAAGCCATCCTCTTTCTCAGCCTCTTCAATTGAGAAGTCCTCGAACAACCGCCACGTCACACCCTGAAAACTTCCCAGGATGTTCAGGACGGACTCGGCTGAGCGCTTGCTGATCTTCATCTTGTGGTGGTAGAGCATCAGCCTCTTTCTGTACTCTTTGTAGTCCTGGGGTTGTCCACTGAACAGTGGAACGAAGGAGTCGCGCAGGTTGAGGTAGTCACCATCCTTGGAACCTTCTGCAGCCGATGTCGTTGGTGGCATTCTCAAACAAGTAGCCAAGACCGAAAGGGCTCTTCAACGAGGAAACAAAAGAGCTCGGCCAAGGGTTCGTGACAAAGGACTTATGCAGAACCTCGTTCTTCTTCGCGCAAAGGACTCGGAGCCCCCCGGAGGAGGCTCCGCTACCAATGCGAAAAAGGTAGCAGCGGCACCCGAAGTCCGCAAGCACGAAAACAAGAGGGCGCACTGAAGCGCCGCGGCCGCGCCTTTTGCAAGGCAACTGCCCTCCCAGTCTTGAGAGGGAACGACGGTAAGTGAAGGTCGAAAACAGTTCGAACTGCCGAAACACAAGTGCACAGCGTGAACTTTACAGCTTTATTATTGTTACTAGTCACAATGGCCTCCAACCTAATAGCGACGGCCTCCACCTAGTGGCTTCTAGTGGCCACGCACACACACAGCACCTATTTATGTTCTACAATCTCATCAGACCCCAGAGCTCGAGGCTGACCATCTCGGCTCGAGCATTTTGTCAGAACAACCAAAGGCGAAGCTGAGCTCTCTCCTCCTTGGCCTGATGCCTAGAAAGTTTAGGTGCAAAGTAGAGGCATGACATGCATGTCAGGTATGTCTCGCAAGATGCCGCAAGCAGCAGGCAGATGCTTGCAAAGGTGCCCACCGACCATTTCCCACAAAAGCAAGGATTTGGTAGAAGCCCTCTTTCACGTTTTACAAAAGAAAAGCGTTGATTTCACTGATGCTCAGGTCATGAGCCTCGCATTTGTCCAGCCTTTGCATGGTGCAGCACCGCTACCCTTGCTGCGTGCACAGCAGACTCCGCCAAAGGCAGGTCCCGTAATGCAAGCAGCTTGCAAGCACAGCAAGCAGTGGCAAACCCAAGGCGTCTAGGTAGAGTAGTGTAGTCTCATGCTTGGAGTTCTTCAAAGGAACGGAAGCGATCATTAATTATGGCGGCATGCTATGTGCCCGAATGTGCATGGATCCTATTGATGAATTCTTCGGGTGGCTTTGACCTTGGAAATGCCAATGTTTTGACGCACTTGCAAAACAAAACAGCACGTGAAGTGCCCAACACTTGATCACTCAAAAAGAGTCTCACAGTAAATTTGTTACACTCAGGAAATTTTGGGCTCAAGTTTTAGTACTCAAAACAGCTGCATCATCTCTCTCTCTCTCTCTCTTGCAAACCCACACTTCGAAGGGAAGAATGAGTGAGGCTGAGGCAGTGATCCGTGACCATTCCGGATGGATTGTGACCAGCGCGAAGAAGGACTTGGGTCCTTTGGATTTCACCGGCCGTATTGGTGGTGGCTTGTGGGCTGACTTGAAGCGCCGTGCCCCGTTCTATGCGAGTGACTGGACAGATGCCTTCCGTCCCGAGAACATGCAGAAGTCTGCGTCCACCATTCTCTATCTCTTCATTGCCGCCTTGGCGCCAGCCATTACATTTGGCAGTCGTTTCTTGGATGGCACCAATGGCCAATTTGGCGTGCTGGAGATGATCATGTCCACGGCCATCAGTGGAGTGCTGTTCAGCACCTTTTCCGGTCAGCCGCTGTCAATATTGGGTGCCACTGGCCCCTTCCTCGCCTACACCTTGGTCGTCTATGACTTGGGCATCGCTATGAACTTGGAGTTCATGCCCTTGTACTTCTGGACCTGCATGTGGTGCTCCTTTTTCACTATCGTGGTGGCGCTCTTCGACCTTCGTGCCCTCATGAAGCACGTGACCATGTTCAGCGAGGACATTTTTGCTGGCATCATTTCCTTGATCTTCATCATCGATGGCATTCGGCCCATCATCCAGAACTTCTCCGACGGTTGGGGTGGCGGCACCAGTTCGATGCCCTTGATGAGCGCCATGTTCGAGGCATTGCTCTTCCTCTACACCTTTGGACTCGCCACCTACCTGTCCCACTTCCGCCGCACTCCATGGCTGCTCCGACCCTTGCGGAACTTCTTTGGCAACTTTGCCGTGACCATTTCGATCATCACGGCCAGTGCGTTGGCCGCCATCTACAAGACGGAGACCAATCTGCGAATGCTGAACGTGGAGGCGGAACTTGCGCCAGCACTGACCTTGAGCACTGGCGCAAAGCGCCCCTGGATCGTGAACCCTATGGGCATTGAGACCGAGTTCCCTGTGTGGGGCATTTTCTTCGCCATCCTGCCTGCTGTTGGCTTCGCCGTGCTTGCTCCAACAACCTCAAGAAGGGCCCCGGCTACCACCTGGACCTCTTTGTGCGGGGTGCTTTGACGCTCCCCGTTTACGCCATTTTGGGTTTGCCGCTCTCGGTGGCATCCACAGTGCCTTCTATCACCCACGTGATCTCCCTCACAACCTACGAGGTGCAGCAGCTGCCCAAGGGTGAGCGCAAGGTGCCGGTGAAGGTCGTGGAGCAACGAGCTACGAACTTCCTCATCCGCGTCTTGATTGGCTGCGCACTCTTCTTGGCGCCCGTGCTGAAGTTCTTGCCACGCTCAGTACTTCAAGGAGTATTCTTCTACATGGGTATCGCATCTTTGACAGGCAACAACCTCTTTGATCGATTGTTCCTGTGGTTGGTTTAGGAACCCAAGAACTACCCCGCCTACATGTACATCCAAAAATTGCCCGTCAAGCGGGTGCACCTCTATACCTTTGTGCAGCTCATTTGCTTGGCAATCCTCTATGGCCTCAAGGCGATCAAGGAGACCTCCGTGGTATTCCCATTCTTCACGGCCTCCCTGGCCATCATCCGCAAGGCCTTGAGGTTCATGTTCACTGCTGAAGAGCTTAAGTATTTGGATTCTTATCCTGATGCAGACGAGGAGGATGCCCTGGAGCCTCAACCGGACCTTGAGAACTTGCCAGAGCCGAAGGTGGCCGCGACTGCGCAGAAGGAGACAGAAATCTAAAGATGATGGAGATGTGAGATGTCGAAGTAAGGAGGGAATGCGTGTGAACGCAGCGCTTGGATGACCTTTTTGTTCAGCAGGTCGTGAACTGTTGCGGCCAGCAGTTTTGTGCATTTTCGGCGGCCGAGCTGGCAAGTGGCCAGTGTCCAGGCCGCTTGCTCCCATTTGTTGAAGCAAGCAAAGGTGTCCTCATCTTTCAACGTGACCATGTCTTGGTCTTGAGATGTTTTGAGACAATTGGAGGTGTGTCCAGTCTGATGAAGTTGAAAGGCAGAGGTCATTTTCGACCGCCTCCAAGCTGAGCTGTCAAGCGGCTTTTGGCTTTGGAGATACCCATGTTCTATACATGTATACCATGTTCTGACGAATGTGTGTAGAAAACAACAAGTGCTCAGAAAGGGCCTCATGCGAAATGATCCTACAGAAGAAAAGACCATGGGGATATCGCCAGTATAGTAACCAGTATGATGCATGCTGACAATGTCCACCGTTTATATATATAAGGAAGAATATGAGATGAGATGACAATGGTGCTGCATATGTCACACATGTCAAACATCACCTTGGAATGCTACACTAGAGCGGCCACTGACCCGGAGGCCCCACCAGCAGATGGCATGAAGTGCCTTTGCGCGAATCAGACCTCCAAGCTTAGAGTGAATGGAAACTGTTTTGTTGGAGTCTTTTTTCCCTTTACACGGTAGCACACCGATGCCCTTAGTTCGTGGCCTTATCACTTGCTACTGTTACCAGACGGAACGCAAGAGTGTCAGAATACAAAGTTGATTCTTCTGAGCTTCATTGGTTGCCTACTAAGGCCTTTTTATCAGACATGTTTTTTCGTTTGTTTTCCCCTTCCCCAGCTGCCTGGTCTGAGATCCTCCAGCCTCATCGTGGGCGGTGCCGCCTGTGCTGTGGCCGCTGGTCGCACCCGGCGGACGAAGGTCCTGGCGACGGAGTCACGAACCAGGAGCGGTTGGAGCGTCGTTCGACCGCTGGTCGTGTCGGTCGACAGACATGAGATGCTCATGATTTGGTTCGTAAGTTCAATGACCTGACCTAAATAATAGCAATTTCCTGCAACCTAGTAGCGATGGCCTCCAACCTAGTAGCGATGGCCTCCAACACATCAGTCATTGCTTTTCGTTTTTGTTCAAGGTTTGTGAGTTATGGAGGTCCACCCGCAAGTCACATCATGCATTGTTCAATCGTGTTCCCAGAGTCATGATGGAGTCTCAAGGGAGCAAATTTGCGGAGGACAGTGAATCCTGCAACAAATGAGCCAGAAGACCCCAAGGACTTTCCCAAACCCAGCTGCATTAACGAAACAGTCTCTGAGCCGCAGGAAGGACATTTTGCGTAGGCCTCGGAAGGAACGGCTTATTTTGAGGCTGAAGCAAAGTGAGCTTCCAGGTGCTGGTGGTTCTGATTGCTTGCGCTGTCATTTCTAGCATCACCTGGATTGGTTGCTGACAGTTTGATTTGGAGCAGTGGTTCCGCGAGTTGCCGTTCCAAGGACAACTACAAAGAATCAGAAGCTTTGACGCAGAAGCTCATGGCACTGAAGGGCAAGGGGGAATCCAAGACGGTCTCTTGCCTTGACTTGTCCTTTTTTTGCCCGCTTGGCGCTTGCCTCCTCATCTTACTTGATTTCCGTAGGCGCCTACTTCATTAAGTAAGGGAGGAAGCTACTTGTTCGCTCCTAGCTTCTGAGACGCTACGAACTGGACGCAGGATAGCGAAGACGCTTCTTCAAGAAAGCTCCCCCTAGGGCGGTGGGGGGAGCTTCCTTGAAGAAGCACTCGCACTAATGATTTCTAGGGACACTTCAATTACTGTACCCCTTTCACAGGTATGCCTGGGTTGCGACATGTTGCGAGATGTTGTGACCATTTGCAGTAACAAAGGGCATCGCTACTAGGAGCAAGGACGCTACTAGTAGCTCCTGGCCTTACTACTAGCAGCATTCTTGCTACTAGTAACAAGAAGCAAACAGATCTTTGTGAAAAGTACGCTCAGGTTGCCATTATTGGTGGTGGCCTCTCAGGCCCCTCTCTATGTTTGCACGTGTCCATTCTGAGCTTCGTGAATCTAATCGATGAATTGAATTATCAAACAAGACACCTGCCACAAGACAGCCAAAAGAACAAGGCCTGGCATGTGCCAAGTATTTGGTGGATGCAGGGCATAAGCCTATTGTTTTGGAAGCTCGCGACTGCCTGGGCCACTTGGCGAAGCCATGTGTCTTGGTGCCGCGGCTAGCCACGGCATGAAGCGAGGTCTTGTGTCGACCGTGTGTTATTTTTGAGAGGTGCATCAGTGTCAAAGAACATGACAAAAGAAAGAAAGAACTGCAAAGCTTTTGATATGAAAGCTATGAACTGCAAAGCTTAAAACATGTTATGACTTGTTTTGATATACGTGTGTTTTAAAGCTGCGTGGAGCAAGGGGGCAAAGTCTCTGCCTGGAAAGACAAGGATGGCGACTGGGTGGAGACCGGCCACTGGGTAAGCACTAACTCTTGCTGATGTCAACCTTAAATCACACCTGGGGGAGAGAAAGATGTGGAAAGATGTGGCCATGGTGATCAAACGACTTGTTACATAAATGATAAATGGCAATGATTTCTCGAGGCTTGCATATATTTTTCGGCGCCTATCCCAACATGAAGCTCTGCGAAAGGCTAAAAGAGCTCATGTGAGCATTGAGAGTCAAGAAGGAAATACATATTGAAAATCAATCTTGGCTTTCTCGAGCGAAAGGACTTGATGAGAACTGATTTAAATGATGTTGAACTCTCACTGTGCGGTGTGTGTGGCATGTTGTGGGTGCCCAGGATGAACCTCTTCTCAGAGCTGGACATCGAAGACCGTTTGCAGTGGAAACGCCATCAGATGATCTTTGCGATGCAGGTGGGCAAGCCCTGAGCATGTAAGAAGAGCAACGGCTTTTGTGCTGCTGGTTTTTGGCTTCAAGATCCTTGTTGACCAGAATCCTCGTTCCCCAGTAGTGCTTTAGCGTGGTCTGGCTATGCTTGTGATGGGTCCCGGTCATGCTTGTGACGGTGTGACGGCGTGTTTTGGTCATTCGTGTTTGTGATGGTGGCCGGTCCTATCATGCCTGCGACGTTGTCTGAGACATGCTTGTGATAGTGGACCAATCATGCCTGCGAGGGCACCCTGTCATGCCTGTGAGGTTGTGGCGGCAAAGATGTTACCTAGAAATGATACCCTTTGTTATTAGTAGCGATGCCCTTGCTCCTAGTAACTTCCTTGCTACTACTGGTACTAGTAAGTCGCAACCCGCGGCTCCTTTTGTGTGCCCTTGGGTTTTGATTGCCTCTCGAGGCGGGGCGGTTGCACTTTCTTGGAGTCTTCCCCGTGTGTTTTCCTCCCAATCCAGAGGACATTTGAGCACCTTTGGTTTCGGGAGGTTTTAAGTTCAAGGTGAATGCAATCCAAAGCCACATTCACTTTTCAAGGATGCGCTGCAGTTCAAACATGTTGCGAAAAGTAGGCGCTGTGCAGGGCTGTTTTACACTGGAACTTCCACCTGCCCCTTCTAGTCGACTGCTCGTGGTCGCATTTTGCCCTTGTGTTTCTCTGTTGGCCGCACATGATAGGAGAGAGGCACGACATGAGAACACCCACAATGAAGCTCAGGAGTTGCCGGGTGAGTTTACCACCTTCGACTTCTTGGAGGGCATTCCAGCACCTTTCAATTTTGGACTGTCCATCCTACTGAATCAGTCCCTTGTTCAAATCTGTCCTGTAGTGTCCTCAACATTCGGTTTTTCCTAGAAGCCATGGTTCATCGTAGCGAGGTGAATAGAGAAAAGAGAGAGAGAGAGAGAACGAGAACGACAGATGCACATCCCAGGAAGATGCTTACACTCCCTGAAAAGCTCCAAACTGCTCCAGCGCTCCTGCCAATGCTGGTGGAAGGGCAGAAGTTCATCGATTTGCAAGACGAGCTCTCAGCCACTCTGATTGCAAAATCCCGCCCGACCTGCTGATGCTAGAGGGAGACCAGTAGAAGCGATTTCTTGGACATACGGCATGCCATGAGGTCTTGAATTTTATGGAGAAATACGGCATGCCTGACAGGCCAGCTTGTGAGGATTTTCTGCTACTACTAGTAAGAAGCTACTATTAACAAAGGGCATCGCTACCAGGAGCAAGAAGCTACTAGTAGCTCCTGGCATTGCTACCAGTAGCAAGAAGCTACTAGTAGCAAAGGGCATCGCTACTAGAAATACGGGCATCGCTCGGTGTCAAAGAGGGCGATCTTTTGGAGGATCAACACGGAGGTCTTCATTGCGATGGCAAAGGCGTTGGATTTTATTGATCCCGAGAAGCTCTCCATGACCGTGGTCCTTACTGCTATGAACCGATTCCTGAATGAGACCGATGGTGCCTTGAATCGAGACCAAAATGTCACCCATGGCCATGTCCTCGCTTTGTTCCATCGCTTGTGGTTCAGCTCCCTTTGCCAGTCTGGCTCTCACAAAGAATATTCATTACAACATCATATGCATACATATGCAATGTATGCTAGATGTCCTAAAGAAACGATAAAGACGAGATGATGCAACCTTACTTGGAGCTCCTTCCAACAATTTTCTGACCTTTCTCAACCTATATCTAGGAGCAAGGACGCTACTAGGGGCTCCTGGCCTTACTACTAGGAACAAGAAGCTATCAGTAACAAGGGCATTACTACTAGTAGCAAGAAGCTACTAGGAGCAAAGGGCATTGCTACGAACGGAGGTGGTTCCCCTTTGCTCGGACCTCCTTCAGGCCTCCAAATGGCCTTCATCGATGGAAATCAGACAGTGCGTCTGTGTGAGCCATTGAAGGAATACATTGAATCAAGAGGTGGCCAAGTTCTTTGCGAGAAGCCCCTGGCCAGCACCTTGGCAATGCCGCGTGGCCACGTTGTGATGCTAAAATTGAGCTGAAAGGAGTGGCAACACAGAATTCAACCTAAGCAGTTCGATTTCAACATCAGCTTGAAGAGCATGCGCTGTTCTTGGAGAAGGTGAGACTCTCTTGGCCTTCAGGAATTGAGACCAATGAAGATGGCTCTGTGAAGTGCTTTAAGCTGCGAAATGGCCAGGAGGTTGTGGCAGACGAGTATGTCTCCTCAGTGCCTTCGTCACAGCCCAGAGCCATAAATAGAGTCAGACATATATATATATATATTATATAGACATACATATAACACACACACACATATATATATATATATATGTAGGCTTATTGCTAAAGTGACTCCCGGATGACAACAACGCGTTTTTCCCCCTGCATGTGATGGTTTTAGCGACTCGCAGTGGCTGAACAGCACCAGAAACGGCATGAAACTGCTGAGACGCATTCTTTCCGCATGACGTTTGGCCCTGCTGGCCCAGAGAGAGATAGAGAGAGGGTGCGTCATTGGCTTCCTTTCCGCCTGGCGTAGCCATGTCGGGGGAGTTTCAAGACGTTCCCAAAGAACGGCGTCACAGTCCAGAAGGCACACTAGAGGAGAGGCCCCCCGCCGAAGCAAAGCATAATGAGAAGCCGGCAATGGCACAGAGAGAAGGCCTGAAAGATTACAGGCCAGTTGAGGAAGAATCTGAGCTTGGCAATGTTGTCATAGGGCTCCCTGTAGATTCAGACTCCTTGCAAGAAGTGCAAACAGAAGTGCCACCATTGAAGAGAAGATCCTGGCTTTGCTGTGCTGTCCGTGTGCTGGTTCTGTTGACAGTCTTTGGTGGGCTGATTTGTCTTCTGATTCTGTTTCTTCAGCCTGACACGCCCGAAGACGCTGATGTGGACTCAGAGGCCGATGTGCTGAGCTCTGAAAGCTTCAGCGTGGGGGGCCGGATGAGGTTGACGTTTGTTGGATGTTCTGCAAACCGATTAAAGCTGGTGAACAGAGCTTGTTACAAGATGTTGAGATTTGGCCTGGCTGGAATTGACGCCGATGCCAACATCAAAAGGAGCAGTATTTCCGTCATGTACGAGGTGATGAATTGGACGAACGACCAGAACGTGACATCAATGACGTCTGACGTTCTGGTGACGATCCAGGTGGACTCCAGACAGCGGGCGGAAGCGCTAGAAGAGCGTCTCAGCGCGATGTCATTTGAAGACATGGCCAGTCATGTCAACAACAGGATTCAGAGCTACATTGGCACCAGGTTTGTAGAAGAAATTATGTACAAGTCATTTTGTGCTTCACAAGCTTCTCGAGGGCCCTTTTCCAGTTTCTTCTCTACGACTCCTCAGTGGATCGTAGCCCTTCAAGAAAGTCAACCCGATCGGGCACAAGCATTTCTCAATGAGAACGTGACGGTGGCCACCTGCGTGAGAACTTGATGCTGCGCGGCCACCTGCGTGGAAAAAGAACCTTTTGTTTTGCTCAGGATGCTCAGGCGCGAATGATCAAGCCCTTCCAAATGTCTCAAGGCTGACAGGTGATCAGAGAATCAGATAGTTCGCAGGTTATCAGAGAGGTTCTTTTTTCATGAATTGTTGCTTTGGGCTGATAGTTGATCTGCTGCATGAAGCGGAACCTTGGGTCGATTCTTGTAGAACTCCGTGATGCCAGTATCTCGTTCACTCTGCTTTTGTAAGGTACCTTGCGACATCATGAAACGCATTTTGCCCCGAGCTTGGTCTACGGACCCATTCTTCAGACAGATTGACGAGCTGGAGGGCATCCCTGTGATTAACATTCATCTTTGGTTTGACAGAAAGACCCTTGATTCCGAACCAATTTGTGTTTTCTTGGATTTTTGTTCCATTGCTAGTAGGTTGGAGGCCATCACTAGTAGGTGGGAAGGCAATTGCTTTTTCGGATGGTTATAATGGCAAGGTGAAGCGCGTCAAGCTGCCAGTCTTATAAATGGATTGATTTGGCACCCTGAGGCTCCTCAATGTCAATCATTTGTGCTTCAGCAGGAGCCCTCTTCTTTCCGTTTATGCTGATATGAGCACCTGCTGCAGCTTGACTGCGAGCTGTGTTGTACCAGTTGTCACCAGACCGCTCAATTTGTTATTTTCCTTTGTCAGCTTTGAGCTGAACACTCTATTCAGGCAAAGAGTATGAGGACCAGGACAGAAGACCAACCCGCGTACTGTAGATCAGCTGCAGTTGGCGAGGTTGGGGAATTTAATGTTCCCTACTAGGAGCAAGAAGCTACTAGGGGCTCCTGGCCTTACTACTAGGAGCAAGGTCGCTACATCAAGGCAACTTTAGGCCAGATTGTTGAGCCGGTGCCTGCACAACGCGCACGGTATGTGGAGACATCTCCATCATGTTTGGTCTATTTATTTGTGGCTTCACGTCATTTGCGCTGGGCAGGACAAGTCCATGCTAGAACTGGTTTTCGCCCCATGCTCACCCATTGCAGGGGGAGGTGTCAATTGGACTCTTGGCGTGTGACATGTCACCACAATGCCATGTGTTTCATGTGCATTTCCTTCCTGGCGACGTTCCGTCAGAAGCCGTTCAGGATGGGCAAGAGTGACGAGGAGATTGTGGCGGCGACCATGAAGGCAGGATGGGTCCTGACAGACTCGGGGGCAGGCGAGGCAAGGTCTAAACACCAGGAATGACTAGGAGACGAGTCGTTTCATCGATGGAACCACCCGGCAGGAGCTGGAAAGACTATTTCCCACGGAGATCGGGGAACACTTGCCAGATGGTAGTGCCCCCAGCTTGTGAGCTTTGTTTTTAGTCGATGGGAAGGATTCAAAACAGGCCACCAGCAACTCACATATATAAGTCGAAACCGGGGCTCACCAGCCCAGGTGGAGCGAAGCTGCTGAAGCACGCTGTGGTAAAGGCTTCAACCGCCGGAGTTTGTGTTTTTGGTTTATTTTCCTCTTGGTTGGTGCTTGGAAATGCTTCCCAATGATTGTGAATTGTGACATAATGAGAACGGTTACTTTAGAGATGAAACGACCAATTCTGCATTGAGACACCACGCAACATCTTGGGGTTGACTCGGGGTTGGATCCAGGCCCTGTCGCCAGGTGCCCAGAAGTGTTTACGCAGCCATTCCCGGCCGAAACAAGTTCCGCCCTTCGCAGGACGGTTTTTTGCGGTCAACTTCTTGGAAGCAAACCTAGAAGCAATGGCCTCCAACCTAATAGCGGCCTCCAACGCATTGATGCGTTGTTTTGGCAAGTGTTACTTCTGTCACAAGAGAAACTGGAGCAGGCATTGGAATGCCAGCCCTTGAAGCAGCGAATTTGTGGCAATATTGGGCTTTTGCCAGTCACGCATCAGGAGACTCCCATCAAAAACTTCACACTCGCGGGTGATTGGACCAGCCAGTGCCTTCCATGAAACAGAACTTGAGAAACAATGGATGAAAAACAGTAGCAAAATGATGCAAACTGGCAGTTGATCGCAAAACAACACCATATAGACAGTAATACCTTCTCTATGAGTCTCTTTCCGTATCCACTATGGGCCGTTGGTGGCATCTTAGGAAGTTCTTGGGGAGCATGGAGGGTGCAATTCTCGGTGGCAAGTTGGCAGCAGAAGTGGTGGCTTTGGCTGCAAATGGAACGACCTCCCCAAACCAAAGCAACCATGTTAGGCAAAGGAATTGCACCTGTGCAACCCTGCCAGGAAGACCACAGCGTTTTTGAGCCGAGAGTTGTGGGGATATATGTAATAATGTATATATGGACGAGAGATTAGGTTGTTTAGCACAAGAGCAGTGATTCATGTAGGGCTGCTCATTGGACTGTGCTCATGGAGATTTATTGACGAGCTTTGATGATGTTCTTTGTGTTTGTCCACAGTCTTTTATCCTTTATATAATATAGAATCATTTTTCTTTCTTGTTGCTTTCTTTTGATTTATTGTTTATGTTGGTTTATTTTGTTCTTTGCTTTTTTTGGCTGTGGTTAAAAGGGTTGCTCACTGGAGTTTCTACGTCAACTGATGACCTTTGATGATGATTTTTTGAGGTCGCCTGCAAAGCGGCTGGTGAGCCGACCAAGGCATAGATTTTCCCCTACGAATTCCTTTCGTTCCTTCTACGCAGTGTGCCAAACGAAAACATGGTGCCTTCAAAAGCCAGTTTCAATCCGTTTGGGCATTGAATTTGCGACAGACATTTCGAACACCTTTTAGGTTTTCAGCCTTTGACAGCAACGTAGGGATAGACTCCTTTTCTTTGACAACTCGATTAGGTGGAAACAAGGCAGGTTTTGGGGACAAGCTGTCCAAGGAACTAAGTACAGGTGCTTGGGTGGATCTCGGTAGGCTTTTGGGACAGACCGCCTGTCCTTTGTTTTTTCTCACAGGTATTCGTAGATTTTCACTCTTTAAGGTACGTTTTCCTTTAAAACAAACCTTTGGGATAGGTTTTAAACTTTCTGTAGTTCTCTTTGTATCTCTTTTCAAGGCAGGTTTTTGGACAGGCTTCTCAATGGAGAGGGTACAGACTTTCTGGAGAGACGATTGCCGAACAACTTGTCCTTTTTGAAGAACAGTGGTTTTCCTGTCCCTTGATTCATAGGTAAAGGCAGCTAGGGCTTGGTTGTCAGTCCTTTGATTTTGGTGTGCGCAAGAGCATTTCACGGTAATTCTTGCCCTGTTCCCTCTTGGGCAAAGACAATGTCTCGCAGGGCTTGAAGGAGGTTGACCCATCCATCCTTGCGAAGAAGGACACATTTGCAGCTCGCAGCAAGAGACTGCAAGGGTCACTCAAGTGAAGCAAAAGCTAGGATCAAACAAGGATCCATTGTATGGCCTCCAACCCTAGTGGCGATGGCCTCCAACCTAGTGGCACTTATTTTGAGGTTTCCTCGAAATCTAGGAACCAAATCATTAGTCCCAGCGCTTCTTCAAGGTAAAGGCGGCGGGGGAGCTTCCTTGAAGAGCGCGGGCTATCCTGTGTCCAGTATGTAGTAGCTTAAGTAGCTACTAGCAAACTAGTCGCCTACATAATTAGGCAGGCACGGGGGGAGCGGGCTAGGCCATCGCTACTAGGGTGGAGGCCATCGCTCCTAGGTTGGAGGCCATCGCTTGCAGGTTGGAAGCTACTAGGTGTTCTCATTTTTCCGCCTCAGGTGGCAAAAGATCCCATGGGCGTCAAGGGAAAGACACCCATCGCCTTTGGCGGTGGTGAAGTCCTGGGCAGTGGATTCGTGCCTTGGCCTTTCAGTTTCAGATTGGTTCCTGAGGGCCGATTTTTGGGGAGGTAACAACTGCCTCGTCCAATTACATCATGACCGAGATAACCGTTTCAACTTTGAACATGTGCTGTGTCAGCTCGTCAAGGTTGTCAAATCCAGTAGAGTGATGCCAACCCAATAGCGATGGCCTCCAACCTCATAGCAATGGCCTCCAAACTAATAGCAATGGCCATGGTAACTGAGCCTCATCAAATTGTAGAAACTTCACGCGGCGTCCATTAAGATGTCATGTCACTCCATAAGCTGGAAGGAGTGACTCTCATGCCAGCGATGATCCGAGATGTGTTTCTTTTCGATGCTCCAGTAACTTCTAAGGAGAGAAAGCTGAGGGATCAAGAAGCTGTTTTGCTCGAAGCGTGAGGCCGCTTTGATGAGTTGCCGGCTTGAGTCCAGCACGGGATGCTTTGCAGCTTGCATTGGAAACTAACTTCTTGTCAAGGTTGAGCTCGCGCCTCCTTTTGACTCTTTGAGAGCCTTTGATTAGAGATTGTAACGAGCCCCATGCGCACCACATTGTTAAGCTTTAAATGCTTCCTTGGCAGCAGGTGCCAGCATGGAATACTTTTTGTGTGCGTGTGGGAAATCAGCAACCATTAGCTTCCTCTAAAGTCCGAAGTTGCAGCAGTCTTAACTCTTGCTGAGTTGCTAGATGCTACTAAAGGATATACTGATATACTTATAACTTATAGACACAAATTTGTAGCGTTTTGCAGTGACACTGCCTTTCCCACATGTATTAAGATAATATTTTTTTCACTAGCCGTCGCGCTGGTCCTTGGCCTTTTCCAGCTCTCACATGGGCAATGGGTGAGCAGAGCAATGCTCTCTGCATGAATGCAACATTTGGAGAAACAAAGGGCAGTAACTTAAGACCTATTGGTTGGAGAGAGGCCATCGCTCTTCAACACACAGAAACAAGAAAAGGAAGAACTTGGACATCGAGGACCTGGTGAAGCCTTAAAGCAGTTCACATGATTGACATGGCGGCCTTTTTGAAGGGACGTCGCCAACCCATGGTGATGCAGCTTTGGAACAGATGTGTGGCCTTAAGGCCCGGCAAAAGGATCAAAAAGGGCGGCATTGATTCGCGTCGCGCCTGGGTGTGTGGATTCGCCTCGTCTGTTGAGTTTCGGTGGATGTCGCTGGCTGCGTGCAAATGTTCGCGTCAAAGAAGTGGCACATGCTGAGGCATGTGGATGTCAGGCTTTGGACAGCAACGAAATGTCCCAAAGGTCCAGGACCGAGGAAAACACACATTGGGAGGTCTCCGCTCCAAGCCATTTTGGCTCGTGTGCGATTTGCCAAATCAGATCATTTTGCAACACGGCGCTTGCAGGCCGCTTCTCACTGGGCAGATCATTGCAGCCCTAGAAGCGCTCTTTCAAAACCACAAGTAAGTAAGGAAGCAAGCAAGTAAGCAAATCCTGTATTCTTGGCAGTTTTTGATTATTTACTTTCTTTGGCAGCACTAAACTCAACAGAATGTTGAATCTGATCAGGCGGACCCTGATGCCCATCGAAGGAGAAGATCAAGAGGAGAATCCGAAGCCCGGAGTCCCAACACACCTTCAGCAGCCCATCATATAGGACTCTGCAGACTCCCAGGATCGCTACTAGTAACAAAGGGCATCGCTACCAGGAACAAAGGGCATCGCTACGAACGGAGCAAGAAGCTACTAGCTCCTGGCCTTACTACTAGTAAGCAGAAACTGGGTGAGCTTCCAAGATCAACAACCGGACAATCCCTTCGATTTCAACCCAGGGCTCACCAGCTAAACGGTGACTGTTGGGCGATTCTTGATCGTTCTATGACAATATGCTCACTAGTAGCAAACATTGTTACTACTAGTAAGGCACTTGTTACTACTAGCGATGCACCTGTTACTAGTAGCTTCTATGACGCTCACATTGCCCAGATTACCCCCCAAACATCCCCAACACACTCAACTCGTCCACGATTTCGTCATGTCTCACTGTCTCAGCAGCATTTTTTTCCATAGTTCGTGGCCAACAAAACACTCTCCCGGCAGTCTAAAGGAATTTGGGGCTGGCATCTCCAAAACCCAAATGACCTTGATCCCCATGACCCCACAGGCTGCGCAAGAATCTTGCTGAATCGCACACCAGCCACTTGGGGGCACACTCCCAAAAGCACACACTGTGCAGAGTTAGCCACCCAATACTAACTCCAAGGTGCCCAAAGATAGTGGAACAGCCGAGCCCAATCAATTAGCCCAGAAAACAGCGGTGGAGCCGGTGGAGGCCATTGCTACTAGGTTGCACCATGTTGCACCCTAAACCCTAGACCCTGCACACCACGGTGCCTCACCTGGACTCGAAGCCGGATCATGACAACCAACGGCCTTCCCTGACAAGCATCTTGAGCATCACCTCACCACAACGAAGAAAGAACAGATAACAGCATTTCCGGAAGATGCATGTGTTGACCACATTCCGATGCTTGCCAGATGTTCTTTGGTAACATCTTAGGACTCTGTTCTTTTTTGAATATGCTTTTGCCAGCGGATGGGGGGGGCAAGGCCCCAGATCACGGGTCAATCACGCCATCCTCCTTCTATGATGGTTCACTTTGCGTTCCAGCGATCTCGACTCAGGCACATCCAAGGGCGTTGCAGCAAATGCCTCAGACAAAACTCATCCAATGTTCGTGTCAGCCATAGGCCCGTTGGTGTCTCCTTATGATCACATACAATCACTCAGTTGAATGGTTCCCCAAAGAACGCGCCAGACCACATGGCTTTTCTGGTGCTTCGACAGCTTCTGACGTGTGGTTCACTCCCCATGCTGATGCACCTGTTGAGATGGGCTGAGGAGAGCTCTTATGCCAACGTGCCTTGGAGGAGCTTTGCCGGCAATTGGACCAAGTGAGATTGGCAATTGGACCATGTTGAAGGTTGAGATCGCAAGTGTGTGCCAGCGTTGAATCGCCCAAGATGGCACAAGGCTCTTTGTGGTTGACCTTGATCACCCAGCATTTGACACTTTGTGTTTGCCTTCGTCACTTCGTCATCTCCAAATCTTCAGATTTTTCATTGCTCCTCCCCAGCGGCTAGGACCCCTGGCTGTTCCTTTTTCTTCCTTTTCCATGTCAACTGCGGTGGCTTCAGGATGAGGCGTCCGCAGTGGAGCGTGGCCTGTTGGCCTCATGGGTCGGAGGCTGAGTGCACTTGGTGCAGAGAGTTGGTGAGGCTACTAGTAGCTTCTTGTTACTAGTAGCAAGAACGCTACTAATTAGTAGTAATGCCCTTCGTTACTAGTAGCGATGCCCTTTGTTAATAGCAGCTTCTTGTTACTAGTAGTAAGGCCAGGAGCTAGTAGTAGCTTCTTGCTGCTAGTAGCGATGCCCTTTGTTCCTGGTAGCGTCTTGTGGATTCACTCTGGCTGCGATGTTAATACAACAAATTCCTTCTTCATGAAAGCCCTCATAATCAAAAGCTGGTATTGCAACCTCTAGTCATTTTGTCCAGCCTCTCAGAGTGGTCAGATGGTCCGGCTATTCACAAGGGTAGGCCTGCTTTGCGTTATGATGTGGGAAGTTTGGGCAGCTAGGTGAGGGGAGCATCACTGGCACGACATCTCATCATCGTCACGCGGGCTCGATGCTGAGATTAGATTGAAGGATGTTCAGGTGGAAATGGCACCTGCATTGGGTGGCATTATTACCAAGTAATCTCCGGCAGAACTATGGACCTATGGGACCAACGACCAAAAAGCTAACCAGTAGGGCCAGGGAGTTGGACGATTCTCTCATATGTGTCTTTGGACCACGTGTCCTGAAATATGTGTGCTCTCATGTGTGTGTGTGTGCTCCTGTGTGGGCTGTCACACGAGGGTTCATGCCCTCATATGGGTTATCTCACAGTTGTGTGCTCACACGTGTGTTCCTGTATATGTGTCTTTAACCTAGTAGCGAAGGCCTCCAACCTAGTAGCAATGGCCTCCTACTCATATGTATTTTCGCCCCCGTAAATTAAGATGCACCTCATGAATGCCTGTTCCGCAGTGATCGTGGTTCTGAGCTTGGCCCCGGTGCATGTCCTGCACTAGGTGTGGTTGCTTTCCACGGTCGGAGAACACCCTTTGCTTGTGCTGCCGGACAATTGGACGACTTCGTGAACTGGTCGAGGCTCCGCTTCTCTGCAGGGACCAGGAACAGGAGGCCCTTACAATCCTGCGAGTGGCGGCAGGTGCGCTTCTGGATTTGGCGGAGCTCGCAGCTCCGAGGTTGGCCGCTGAGCGTGTGGCGGCTAATCCGCCTGGCTACAACTCGGATCCCCTTCCTTCGAGGCCGCCAGTTGTTGCACCTCCCGTTGAGCCTATTGCACCAGAAACGGGACGCCCGAGTGCTCCTGAGGTCAGTGCAGTCAAGCGTGAGGGTGACATTGAGGAGGGCAAGGAGCCGCTAGCCGAGGTTCACGAGGACATCCAAGACGACGCACCAGCCCCCGTCGAGGAGGACAAGAAGGCAGGCATTGAGGAGAAGGCAGCTCCTAACCGTAATCCGGGAGCAGAAAAGAAGAAGAGGAAGAGGCACAGGTCCTCAAAGAAGGCAGGTGAGGCAGAGAAGAAGCCCAAGCGCAAGAGGAAGGCAAAGCGTGAGGAGTCAAAGGGTGTTGAGGAGCAGGAGTCCACTCAGAAGGAGGTTGCACAGGTCGAGAAGGAGCCCGATTGGTCGGGACTTGTTGAATCAGACCCAAGCTTCCTTGGACCTGCACCCATTCCCAAGGGAAGCGTCGCATCCCATTTCTCCCGGCTACCGCCACCTCCACCGGCACCAGTCCGATCAGGACCTGTGGAGCCCAGTTATCCTCCCCCGCACCACGCGAGTGCAGACCGTCCGAGGAGCCCTTCGAGGAGCCCATCCTGGACAATCCAACGTCGCCCTAGGGGCACCAAGGGAGTCAAGCACCGTGAGCGAGGGTACAATTGGAGACGGTACTGAACAGAATGCCGCCCAAAGCAAAACCAAAGCCGAAGGCCCGTGTGAAGGCCAAAGCAAAACCCAAGGCTGCAGTCAGACGTATCGGACCCCGAGGTGTTCTACGACGACCAGCAGTTGTTCCTCCGGTGGGTGGGGCTCCTGGGGATCGGGAGCCCTGGTCGGATGGTGGACTGGCTTCATTGAGGGATGTTCCGCTCGAGCAGCTGGGCCGCGGTGTGAAGGTGGTAGTGACAGAGGGATCCTACTTCACAGCACCTTGTCAAGCAGCGGGGGTTGTGGACAGAGTCGAGATCGAGTCCGGTCAAGTTCACCTTCACGCCAACCTGTCGGGTACGAACAACGAGAATCTTCTCAAGTACGCCTCGGGGAAGCCTCGGGGGTTGGTCAGGATACACCGGTGCGATGCGCACTGTACAGGAGACAGAGTTGCCGAGGATTTGATCCATTGCGTGAAAGCCCGTCTGAGGAAGTCCGACGACTTGGAAGAGGGCTGGATCGACAATCTGGTCACAGTCGAACCAGTCGACGACGATCTCAAGGACCTACGTGCCCGGGGAGAAGACCTACCTGCCGGCCGAGGAGAACCAGCAGTCGGGGCACGGGAGCGGGCCCGCTCCTTGGGAAAGAAGGACAAGAAGAAGAAGAAGGAC